TGTCTGGCTGCCTGACTTCTTTTGATCTTTCAGAACAGAACAGTAACTTCCTCCATGATGCCTTCCCTGATGCCACCTAGTGTAGGTTAGGTATATATCCTCTGAGCTTATGCACAGGGCTGATCATGATCTTTATACTTCCTGTGCACCCTACAGTCTGGCTTCTTCATTCTTCATGTGTCCTGGAGGCAGAGGTAGCATCTTTTCGCAGAGCCCTGCGTATTTTAGGGCCCCAGACACTGTTTGCTGAATGAACCAGATTTAGCAGCTTTTGAAGGTTATAGCCATGTGTATATAATCGAAGCTCATGGTCCTAGTTATAAAAGAGTGTCATTTAATGAAGAAGGTAGCAGCCCAGTGAACAGATTTTATGTGTGTGATCTAGTTATTAACCTCATAAAGCTCTTTACAGTCCTTTGCATTTTATACCTCTTTGCTTTTTGCCTGAGTAACTGAAAAACTAAGTTTTAATTAATGGTTCCTACTTCCTGCCAACTACTAATGTATGTTATTAAATCTGATCACAGTGTTAAAAAATTAATTAGAAGTCTTTGATTATTAACAAAAATCAATTTGACTTAGCCTATGCCAGAGAAAGGGGAATATATGATGAAGAATCAGGGGTGTCTTGCAGAATCCAACATTTTAGGAATTCAACTAGGCTTCAGGGAGAACTGGAACTGAGAATTGGAAGACCAGCAAGAATCCTGAGAGTCTTTTCGATTTGTCTGCTTATTTCTACAAAACTCTTTTTTCATCTTTCTCAGGAACTAGGTTTCTCTGCTTCACAGTTGGTAGAGGATGGCCTCCTATATTCCTCAGCTTTGCAGCCAAGTTCCAACCATATGGAAAGCCTGTCTTTCTGTCTCAATTCCAAATTCCCGAAGATGTTGGCTTGCCTTACGCTGTCTATCCTGATTCAGCTGTATGGCCACAGGTCATACTGAACAAATCTATCCGTTTCTGCTCATCTCTGAAGAGTATATGAGACAATAAAAAAAAGAGTGGGAGAGAGATAGCAAGGCAGACAGCAGAGAGATATCATGAGGCTGCGGATACTCTAAAAATATCGAATACCAGTGACAAATACTAGAGACCTATAAACTAGCCTGGAATCATTTCTAGTTTATCTTGTCCAAGAATATTCAATCTTTTTGAAAAGATTATATTTATCCTTTTAATATTAGTATAATTTGAGATTCTTAAGGTAATGACATTCACTTGTTAGTCTTGGTGTTGTGTGTGTGATAATATTTCTTAAATATGATACTATCTTCAATTGCTGGAAAGTTTCTCTGTTCAATAGATACATAATGTGAGTCACATGTAATTGAAAGTTTTCTAGAAATTATATTGAAAAAGTAAAAATCAAACAATTGAAATTAATTTTACTTAAAATGTTATATTCTAAATATTATTTCATGAATATAAAATTAAGAATGAAGTATTTCCATTGTTCTTGAATTTTTGAAATCTCATATATTTTATGTTCTAGCACATGTCAATTTGAAATAGTTACATTTGAAATTATCAGTAACTACTGGTAGTTTAGTGGTTACCATATTAGACAGTTTAAGGTCTGTTGAAAAGCAATCCGTTTTCTTCCTTAGTTTTTCTAAAATTTCCTTCTCAAAACCTTAATTAAGCTTATATATGGCTCTTTTTAAAAGTGCGCTTCATCAGAGGCTAGAGATTTTAAACCATCCATGGAAGAGTTGCTGGTTTGGAGGATTTTCAGTGTTATGTGGCAGAAAAAGACATGTAATTCTTAACTGAATGACCAGGCTTGAAGGCTGGTTCTTGTTTTTCTTAGACCTCTGATTTCTGGAATGTTACTTAAAACCTTGAGAGCTTCAGTTTGCTTATCTATAAAAATAAAGCTAATAATGGTCTTGCTCATTAGAAGAGATTTTTACAAGATTTAAATGCACTTATAAACTTGGAAGTGCTTTGAAAGAATATACAGGGTTCTACAAATATAAGGCATTGTTTTAATTTAACTGGGACCTCCCCCCACTACATTTTGGAATCAATAATTTGCTATCATTTGTTGAGAGTTTACTTTGTGCCAGGAAATGTTCTAAGTATATTATACTTTTTAGGTAATTTAACCATAACAACCAGCTTAAGAGGGTACTGTTATCTCTGTTTTATGTATGAGGAGCCTAAGACACCGGGATAGAAACTAGTCCAAGGTTACATATCTGGTGAGTATTTAAACTGAGAGAATGCAGTATCTTCTGCTTTGTACCAGTCTGAGAGTGCTGTAATGAGCACCTTAATTAGGGTGAAATACACATAATATAAACTTGATCATTTTTAACCACTTTTAAGTATTCAGTTCTGTGGCATTAAGTATATTCACAATGTTTTGTAACTTTCACCACCATCTGCCTCCAGAAAGTTTTCATGTTCTCTAGCTGAAACTCAGTACCTCCTAAATACTGATTGCCCATTCCCTCCTCCCAGGGCTCTTTACATTTGAAGACTTAGCCAGAGACTCATGTTGTGAGGGCCTGAGCCCAAATACAGCAATGTTCAGAGGTAGGGCCTAAAGAGGCGATTGGATAATGAGGCCACAGTGACATCGATGGATTAGGTCACTGATAAGTTCCTTAGCTGAATGGGTTGTCAGGGTCTAGTCAAGAGCCAAAAGCCATTTTACTTATTTTTCTATAAATTTGATCACTCTGAATACTACATATAAGAGGGTATGTGCAATATTTATCTTTTTGTGACTAACTTATTTCACTTAGCATACTGTCCTTAAGGTTCATCCATGGTATTGCACGTGGCAGAATTTCCTTCTTTTTAAAGGTCAATTAATATTTCCTTCTATGTATGTACCTCATTTGGTTTGTCCATCTCTTGGTGGAACTTGGATTGCTTCCACCTTTTGGCTGTTACGAATAATGCAGCTATGAAGATGAAGCTATGAAGAAGAAGATATGAAGATGGGTATACAGATATCTCTTCAGGATGCTGCTTTTACTTCTTTGGGGTATATACCCAGAAGCAGAATTTTTGGATCATGTGGAAATGTTTAGTTTTTTGAACCACGTATTATTTTCTACAGTGGTTGCATCATTTTACATTGCCTACTAGTGATGTGCAAAGGTTTCAGTTTCCTCACACACTTGACAACACTTGTTACTTTCTGTGGGTTTTTTCTTTTTTTGATAATAGCCATCTGTATTAGTCACCTCTCTTGTTGCTGGGACAAAATACCTGACATACACGTTTTTCAGTTGGTTCTGAGGCAGAAGCGACATAGTGGAGGAAAGCTGCTCACCTCATGGCAGCCAGGAAGCAAAGAGCAGGAAGAGAGCCTAAGAAGAGAATAAACCCTTCCAAAGGGACACCCCCAGTGACCCAATTCCTCTGGCTAGGCCCCAACAGCCCATTCAGCTAAGGAACTTATCAGTGACCTGATCTATCGATGTCATTGTGCCCTCATTATTCAGTCACTTCTGTTGGCCTCACCTCTGAACATTGCTGTATTTGGGCTCAGGCTCTTTGGCGAAGTCTTCATGTTTGAACCATAACACCATCCTAATGCATATGAAGAAAATAGACATCCAGTTGTGTCATTGGATTTGTTGAGCATCTTTCTATGTGCTTATTGGCCATTTGGACATCCATTTTGGAAAAAATGACCAAGTCCACTGCTCTGTTTGTTTGTTTGTTTTTTTGAGATAGAGTCTTGCTATGTTGCCCAAACTGATATCAAACTGGTGAGCTCAAGTGATCTTCCCACCTCAAGCCTCCTTGGATGGTATGCGCATGGCACCATGCCCAGCTTCCTTTTTTAATTGGGTGGTTGGTTTCTTTTGTTGTAGTTGAGTTGTAGGATTTTTTTTTTAATTCGTACTGGGGATTGAATTTGAGACCTTGCACTTTCGAGGCAGGTGCTATAACCACTGAGCTTAATCCCCGGCCAGAATTTTTTAAAAGTATATTCTGGATATCAACCCCTTAACATATAATATGATTTTGCAAACATTGTTATCTGTTGTTTGGGTTGGATTTTTACTCTTTTGTTGTTGTTGTTGTTTTGAGGCAGGGTCTTGCTGTATAGTTCAGGCTGGTCTTAACTTCACTATGTAGCCCAGGTGGGCCTCAAATTCACAGAAATCCTCCTGCTTCAGCCTCCCAAGTGCTGGAATTACAGGTGTGCACCACCACACCTGGCTTACTCTGATAAGTTGATTTGATGCACAGAAATTTTTAATTTTGATAAAGTCCAGTTTATCTATTTTCTCTTTTGATCACTGTACTTTTGGTATCATATCCAAGAAGTCATTGCCAAATTCAAATGTCATAAAGCTTTCCCTTTGGTTTTCTAAGAGTTTTGTCCATCTCTGTCATTGTCTCCTGTCTCAGTGTCATTTTATATCTGTCTCTGTCTGTGCATCTTTTTTTCCCCTTATATTTGTGGACCATTGAAATTCTCTTTTTGGGCCGGAGATTTACCTCAGTGGTTTCACCGCCTGCTGCACAAGCGCAAGGACCCAAGTTTGATCCCCGGTACCGAAAAAAAAAAGACATTCTCTTTTCTTGCCTTTTCTTCCTTTTCTTTTTGTTGAACTGTTTGGAAGTATTGCAGACATCATAATACTTTATTTCCTAAAAAATAATGACATTTTTATAAATAATTGTAATTTCATTATCAATACTCTTTTAGAATTGGGTATGTGGGGCCCCTGCTGTATGTTCTCTACTTTGGAGTGTCTTTCTCAAATTTGTCTTTCTCCTCCCATGCTAGTATCCGAAAGACAGGGCTCTTCTCTTTTAGCAATCTTATATTGAGAACTATAGTAAGTTTCCTTACTGCATTCATTGAAGATTGTAACTTTATTTTATATGCTGATTTTATTGTTTGCCTTGCATATCATTTTTTTCTTCTAATTTATTTTTCTCATATTAATATACAACTTTGACTGGTTAGTGTGTTCATATTGGTTAACATTATAAATTACTTTCTTCTTTTGTTTTTCCAGCACTGAGTTGAAACTCTTGGAAGAGGCAACCATTTCAGTCTGCAAGTCTTTAGGTAAGGGTACAATGGGGTAGGGGGAAGAATTCCCTGTTAAAATTTTTGATAGTATAATATGAATTGAATTAATAAAGTGATATATCCTTCTTGGTTATGATGATGATAGAAATAATTATTTCTATTCCTGGTGCTCATTGATGCTGTTAGAGGTTGAGTTACCATTTGGTCAACATACACTTGGCCATATTTGTAGAGCTGTAGGTATTATTTCAGCCTTTTTTTTTTTTTTTGTGATTGTGCAAATACTGAGAAAAATCACAATATTATGTTGTATAGTTGCATGTATAGTTCATATAGAATTTACCATTTGTCTTATGACTTGGCAACATATGGTGTTGTTGGCTGTGTTAACCAGAATAATTATTACTCATTAAAATATACTAGGAAGGTTCTCTGTTGCAAATTGATATTGTGGTAAAAAGCATGGGATCTGGAATAATTTTATGATCTTCATTTTATCTCTGCTACTTAAGTAGTAACTGAAACTTAATTTTCTCATCTAAATTGATGCTAAGAATAACTATTTTATAGGATTCTTAAAAGGAAAAAAATCATTCAACATGAAATGTCTAGAGTAACATAGCATTTAGTTATTACTCCCCATTTATATAAACAGATACTACCTTTTTTGACCTCATTTTTTGAATACTTTACTTTAAAGTTTGTAGCAGCCAGATATAGTGGCACACACCTGTAATTCAGTGTTTGGGAGGCTGAGAAAGGAGGATTGCCATGAGTTTGAAGCTAGCCTGGGCTACATAGTAAGTTCAAGACCAGCCTGAATTACATAATGAGACCCTGTCTCAAACAACAACAAAAACATTGGTACCAATTAGAAAGAAATGTGTGTGCTTTAAAAAATGCAGAGAATTAAAATTACATTGTATTGTTTTAAAAATTAGAAGCAGTGTATCCATAAATTACCTAATGTCCAGAGGTTTTAGTAGATGATAACAATATTCTGTTTTTAAATTAATCCATATGGATAAATCCACTTAAATTATATGGATAACTCTTCTACTTTGCCAAAAAGTCTTTTTCTTTTTGTTTTAATGGTGATTGAACTTAGGTCCCTCATGTATGTATGGTTGGAAAGGGCTATACCACTGAGCTGCATCCAGTCCTGCAAAGTAGTCTTTGATGAAATATATATATATATATTTTTTAAATTACATTGTTAATGTTAGAGTTGTTATTGCAGTATTTGCCTTCACATGTAGCCATAGACTAGAGAATTTTGTGGTAAACAGAATTGGCTCAAAAACCACATGGTAGTTTAGAGCTGAAAATTAGAGTTGAGGGTATTGTGATGATGGCTTTAAGGTGACCTTGGTTTTTTATAAAAATTACATTTTAAAAATTGGAAGTAACAGTTACTTATTAATTATGATGTGGGAAGCGTATATGTATGTGTATATTATCTCCACTATCTTTTCTCTTGACTTTTTATCAGAAATGTGTCATTAAAAATGCTTTTGGGAACAGCATAAAATGGTTCACATTTATTGTCAGCATTTCCGAAAATACAGTAGTACAGATGAACTAAAAATAATCACTGCCTAATTTTTGTACAATATTTTTTCAGAGTACTCTATGTATATTGATATATATGCACAGTTTTACATAATGGTATTATTTATGCTTGGGTTTGCACTTTGTGAGTCTTTAGTCCTGTCAGGCCTTTCTACATTCCTGTTGGGTATCCTGTCGTTGCTGTAGCTCCTGAAGCTCATTCAGCTTCAACAAAGCATTTTACTTTTACCACTTAACTTTGTTCCTACCATTGATCTGTTTTGGGACTTTTTCTTTTTAAATAAATTTTATTTTATCCTATTGCCTCCCTCAAGCCCCCTCCCCTCCCTGTGTTCAAAAGTTTGTTTGCTTTGGACTTTTGAGTTCAACATGGATATCATTGTTTTCTTTTTTTGGTACTGGGGATCAAACTCAGGACCTTGCAGTTGCAAAGCTGGTGGTGGAACCAGTTCTTTCCTTTTTTTTTTTTCTGGTATTGGGGGTTGAACTCAGGACCTTGTGCTTGACAGGCAGACATGGCACCACTAAGCTACATCCCCGGCCCTCTCATGGATATCATTTCAAAAAATTATTTAGCATGTTCAATTTCATAAATTTTTTGTTTTGGTCTCCATCTTGTCCAAAAGAGTGCTGTGGAAACTTTTTAACTCCCTTGGAATACAAGGTCCATTAAGACAGGGAGTTCTGTTGATAGATGTCTCCTTAGTGCCTGAAACAGAATGTGCACATGTGAATAGTTCAATACATGCATGATGAATGAATGAAAAAAGGTACATAAAGCTTTATATCAATGTAGTGTCTGGTTGCTCTTTCCACCAACACAGGGTTGTTTTGTTTTTTTCAGTAATAATGGGGCTGTTGAGTGAACAAAGATGATGAAGTTGTGATTCTGAAGGATAGTTGTAGTCATAGCAGCCTCAGCTTTGTATTTTTCAGTTTTATTTTGGTTTATAATAGATAATAACCATCTCAAATGTACATGTAAATATTAACTTAAAATTTTTTTTTCCTGAAATCTAAAGTTATTTTTTCATTAAACTAAACCCAAATCTTGAAAAATGAATAGGAATTTGTTTTCAAAGTGAAGCTCTAACAATATCTAATGACATATCTTTTAAAAATTAAAAAAAAAAAAAGACTGAAGCAGGTGGATTGCCGTGAGTTTGAGACCAGCCTGGGCTACACAGTGAGTTCAAGGCCAGGCTGAACTGCATAGAGAGACCTTGTCTCAAAAAAAAACCCCCAAAAAATTAAAAAAAAAAATTTTATCAGTACATGTTTGTAGTAGATAATGATTACATTTATCATGGGGAGTTGCTACATGAACATAATGCATCTTAATTCTTTTTACTTCCCCTTCCCTTCTTCTTCCTCCTCCTGCCTTTATCTCTTGGTCCCCTTCCCATTTGATTTATCTCCCTGTTTCCTATCACATATCTATTGTTTTGTTTTGTTTTGGTACCAGGGATCTAACTCAGGACCTTGAGCTTGTAAGGCAGGCAGCAGAGCCATTGAGCTAAATCCCTGGGCCTCACATATCTATTCTTGATTGTGAAAGCTGGACAAAAACCTCCCCTAATTTACAGTAGAGGTGGCACCTTCCTATTCTCCATGGCATTCTTCAGCCAGCAGCAGTGGGCATCACCTAGGAAACTGAGATGTGGAATTTCAGGTTGTACGTCACACATGTGGAATCAGGATTTACATTTTTTAAAAAGACACTGTGATTTTTTTTTTTTCTCAGTACTGGAGATTGAGTCTAGGGCCATTGCACTGAGCTACATTCCCAGCACTTTCTTGCTTTTCTTTTATTTTGTTTTAAAATTTTGAGACAGTGAAGCAAGACTTGTAAAACAAGTTCTTCCC